TACACTCAACCTAAAAGGCTTTAGCCCAGGTGATTTTCGTTGTTTTATTAAGGTTTCACCCGGACTTTTATTGAATGGCAATTTAACAAAGGTACCGAGTATTTAATTAAGGTTGGTTGGACAGGGGGTTTTAAGGCTTGCATGGCTAAAGCGAGGGGTATGAGTGTCGAAGGTGGTTGGGGTTGACTCCGTGTAGTGTGTGGACTGTTGATTTGGCTCGTTGATGTGATGACAGGTATGTGCTGTGAATCAGATTTTGGATTTGGTTGCCTACTATCACACGTGCACGTATTATTGTGAGAGACCCTAGCGAAACTCCGAGAAGTGATCGTCACATACTTAACCTTATATATGTATACATGGGCATGCTTGGGATTAATGTTTGCATGGGTTGAAGAGTCCCCATATTAAAGCCCGTCCAGAAGCTGGGATTGAAGAACTTAGGGGAGACCCCTACTTCTATTTTTATTCCTGCTTGTTGATTTTCTTAGTCGGACGTTGGTCCTGGGCTGGGATTCGAGGTCCTTGTCCAGGACATCCTAAGCCCTAGGCTCTGCAGGGGAGGGGCTTTCCCTCGCGCAGAACCTATTTGATTTGCCTACCGAGACGCTCAGGTGAAGAGCCTAAGGCGTAGCGGCGGCTGCACGACTGTTTCCTTCAGTCGTGCAATGTCGTGAAAGGTTAGGCCCTCACGACACTTCAAGTCTGATACTTAAGTGTCATAAGCGATCCGCATAGCCAGTGGTCTTTCCGCCTTCCTGGTCCAGAGTGGTAGCGTCTGCATCCAATCATCTCTCGGTATGCCCTGCCCCTGCATGAACCACTCAAACGCGGGGATGAAGTCCGACGCATTTGCAATCTCCACGCGGATCGGTCTGCCATCAGGTCCCATAGGCGAGGGTCGCAACTCCTCCATCCTCATCTCTACCTCCTGCCTCGTCGTCGCCCCCCTACAAATCCTGGCAATGGGCTCCTCGAACCTACCTGCTCCCCTCAATCCCTCAATCGCCTGAGCGACAGTCCACCCCATACGCCTCGCATGCTCCCAGAAACTGTCGAGGAATAGCTCGATGTCCCCATCATTGTAGACCGGAGTACTCTCTCGATGGCGAGGCCCATGCCTCTCATATCCTCCTGATGCGCCCAACGGCCTCTGAGGCGGCCGTGTCCCCTTCCCTCCTCTTGGCATGGCTGTCTTCGTAAAGTCAGACCTGCACAACAGGCGAAGGAGACAACAGGCACACATTGGGGTAAGCAAGCAGGCGATAATCAAAGCAAGCTCAGACCAGACCACACTCATGCAGCACGCATCCTACCAAACCTACACACCCTGTTACTTCTATTCTAAAAGGCAGTCAGGTCATCTCTCTTATCTCTTTTCTCGCCACAAATTTCTTCAGTCGTGTTCCAGATACCAAATCCTTCCACTCAGTCCCATTTACTTCCTCGATCTGGTACGCTCCGAAGTCTCTGACCCGTGCGATCCGGTAGGGACCTAACCACCTCTTATCGAGTTTCCTGGACCATTGCTTCTCCAGTGATGAATCGTAGAGAAACACGACATCTCCAACTGCCTAGGGTACTTTCCTCACCCGCGCAGATTCATCCCACCGAGCCTTATCGTCCATACGGCTTCTCGCCACCTGGCCAGACGCCTCCTGGATCCTTTCTTCTATCGCCCCTATCTGCCGCGCCCAAATATCGAGCAAATCTTCGAATGACAGGTTAACTTTCAGATCCTGGCGCCTCCATGTCTTAAGAAAGCTTTCGATRGGGAAGGTGGCGTGCCTTCCGTACCACAGCGTAGCCGGTGCGTACTTGGTGGATCTTTTTAGTGTAATATTATCGACAAAGAAAGCCGCCCTTAGGTATCTTGGCCACTGATCAGGCCTACCTTTTGTCCATTTAGCCAGGAGATTTGTAATGGTACTATGTCCTCGTTCCACGGGAGCATTTGCCTGGGGGTGCGCCGCCGTGGTGTAGTTGGCTGCCACACCATACCTTGATAAAAGTTTTTGCACTTCCTGGCAAGTAAACTCCGATCCCCTGTCCATTACGAATTCCCTGATGAAGGGATAGCGCAAGTAATACTCCTCGATGCAGTTCACTAAGACTGACCCGGTCTTCGTGCGAGTAGCACGCCCGTCTACAAACCCAGACAGGTTATTGCGCGTATCGAAGATGTAGTTATAGCCCTGATCCCCAAACGACATAAAAAGCAAATCGAGATGCACTATGGCCCCCACTTCTCGCTCTAGCCTTCGATGCAGCGGCTCTCCTTGTCTTAAATGGGACCTTTCCTGGCAAGGTACGCACGATCGGCAGAACTTTCCGACCATATCCATCATTCCATCCCAGTAGTAGAGCTCACTTAYCTTGGCATACGTAGCTTGTATCCCTCGATGCCCTCTTGCAATGCCATCATGAAGCGCAGCTATGACGTCGATCTGACGATTCCTACCGCAGACGACTCTCCTAGAATTTCTCACTTCTCTTCTCACGAAAAGGTGGCGGTCTCGCACTAGATACCGTTGCAGCATCCTTTGAGCTCTATCGCTTGCATCCCTAAGCCGCATTTCACATGACAGAAGAAGCCCCTACTCTAGGTAGATCCCGTCGTACTCCTCTACACGAAACGCCTCTTTAATCTCCCCTTCCTCGAACTCGTCGTCCTGGCTCTCGGGCACTTCGTTCACATTCCCTGCCGGGTTCAACGACCCTGATTGGTCTTGGCTTTTCTGCAATAACGTATTGACGAGGAGATACATTCCTCCCATCAGGCCCTCATGCCGTTCTACCTGGCCAGGTCCTTCCTCAATCGTCCTCATATCCTCTACCAGGCTATGCGAGCTGGCCAGCGCTAATTCCATCATCCACTGAACATCCTTACCGCCCCAGGGATCTTCTTCCTCAAAGGGCTTAAGGACTAGCTCAGTCCTCCTTTCATACCCGTTCGGCGCTTGCCAAATAGGATAGCCTACACAGCTGGGCACTCGCGGCGACCACTTTTTGATATAGAGACGAACATCTTCTTCCTGATCCAGAAACCCATCAACTGGGGGTGTATTCTCCACCGCCTCCCCTTCCTGTCTATCCCAGTTGATCCGACTCAGSCCGTCYGYCCGGTTCTTGCTGCCAGGAATCCGTTCCAACTCAAAATTGAACATCCAGATGTACGTCAGCCATCTGGCAACCGTTGGATCCGATGGAACGTAATTCCTTAGAGAATAGGCCAGGGCGGTCGGATCCACTCTCAAAATAAACCTCTTGCCGAAGATATAGTTCCGGAAGATTCGCAGACAGTGGAGGATAGCAAGAGTCTCCCTCTTGAACTGAGAGTAGTTCCTTTCCGTTGTACAGAGAGTCCGACTCTCAAATCGCAAGGGTCTTTCCTTTCCTTCCATGTCTGCCTGAATTTAAACTCCCCCTAAGGCAGTCGGTCCCGCATCCGTTTCGACAATGAAGGGTCGCGTCTCTGTGGCGTCATAATCTGGCGCTCCTAACACCAACCTTCCTTCTCGAAATTCCTCCTTCATTTTTGCCACCACCTCTTCTTGCTTTTCACCCCATACCCATTCCTGATCCTGACGGACTAACTTCCTCAGGTGTTCAGTCTTAGCGGCAAAGTTCTTGACGAAGGCCCTCCAAAATCCACACGTACCAAGGAAGCTCCTGACATCAGTTATTGAGTGGAACGGAATTGGTCACTCAATAATCTTGTCCGTCTTCTTCACATCCGGCCTTCGGTCTCTCTTACTGCAGACGAATCCCAAGATAGTCGCTTCCCTCATGCAGTGTCTGGATTAAGCCCCGCTCGCCGTGAGGTTATGCTCTTCGAGCAGGCTCAGGACCTTTTCGAGGTCCTGGATGTGTTTACAGACAAAGCGCCTTACCCCCGGTGAGACTTCGTCGCTCTCTTTCACCGCCGGCCCCTTCACTGCCAAATCATCAATGTATGGCTGTGTGATATGGGGGCTGACTGACTGCATAGCCCGAATCATGGCTCGTTGGACCATTGCTACCGCATTGGTCCACCCTTGAGGGGCCACGTTCATGTGGATTAATCCTCGCGGCGTATGCATAGCCGTCACCGGCCTATCYGGCGGGTAGACTGGGAACTGATCGTATCCTGAGTAAAGGTCTATAAGCGAAATTATAGGCCTTCCAGCACAGGATTCCGACAGCGCGTCTGCATTTGGCAGCCCTCCAGCATCTCGCACGGTCACTGCATTCAATCTTTGCAAATCTTGCACCCACCGCAGCGTCCCGTTAGGCTTTATAAAGCAGAACCACGGGGATGCATACGGTCCACTTGAATAGTCGGCGACGTGAGTAAGTATCTTGCCGTCGAGATAATCCACCACCTTCCTTTCCTCGTCAGGATTGGGATATCGCGCCCCTCTCATGTTCCAAGGCTCGTGTGGCACGGTGTGTATGCGGATCATAGGTATCTTGTCTACATCGAGCCTGCCACGCTCTTCGTCACTAAACGCGTAAGCGCGATGCTTCCTCTTCATTAATTCCACCATCAACGTTCGCTCTTAGGGCAGTAGGAAATCAGACTCCCCTATGATCAATTCGTTTTCGTTCCCTTCGTTGATACGACATGGCCTTGCTAAAGCACTTTCCCTCATTTGTCGAATCAACCCTCGTTCCCTCTCGTAATATGCCTCCTCGTCCCCTGTAACGAGGACGGGAACTGGGCGGCACTTCTTGTCTACCGTCTTGTACCGCCTTTGGGAACCCTGCTTGAGCCATCTCCTAAAAAAGGCCGACTCACGGATTGTGTTTGCGCTGATGCGGGGTTCCCTCCACTTCCTGGGAGCCGATATACCAATTCCAACCTTCCTGCCTCAGGGCATTCCATAACTTGTTCCCTCAAAGCCTGGATGGCATCCGGATCTGCCATCTCATGCACGGCGACCAAATCTATGGCCTTCCCAATATCTGACAGGCTGAGGGAAAAGGCTTCCACCCTCTCTCCTGCTTCGGGCTCTGCCTAGAGTCTCCTGTGCTCCCCTTCCGATTCCTCGATCGTGAACGATCCTAGATTGGGCCGGTTCCTTATACTCCTTGGCCCGGTGTTCCTGCAAGTAATTATTTCATAATTCCCGCAGGTAGGATCGCATAAGAGGAGGATCAACGTCCCATCATGTTTGTTAAACATCACGGTCTCTGTCCTGCTTAGGAATTACCTCCCCAAGAGGATTCCATGGTCCACGTTTGGCATTATGAAGAAGCATGCCCTGGCCTTCACCTTTCCAACCTCGATGAGCACATTCGAGGCTGTCCCGCAAAACACGGCCTTACAGCTGGCTCCATGCAGAATACCGCAGTCAGAACGGTCTATATCCAGCCCAAATCTGATCGCGTCTGCCTCCCGAATAATGTTCATCTCTTCCCCGGTGTCCACCATTGCTGCGCACTTTGACCCCTTCACCATCAAATCCACCGTACCGCAGGCTACGCACTTCCAGTCCATCTTCGTGCCTGACTCCGACCACTCTGCCTCCTTGGGCAGAATCGTACCCAGATGGACATTGGGCACCAAACGTCGCGACAACCTCCCCTTCAGTTCATAGCGGAGTCGCGGGGCTGACGCTAGGATTTCCTTCAGGGTCATGAGGTCATTATGCCCTTCCAGCAGCCGGTCAATCACCTTTTCTACGTCAAATCCTTCTTCCAACCGGACCGCGTATTTCTTCCTTTTGGGCRGTCCGTCGCGCACGACCGRYTCGACCTCTCCCCTGGTTCCCTTTTTCCTCGCCCGCTGCTCTGCTTTTTGATCCTCCTCCCTACGCAGCCTCTCGTCCTCTTCCTCTTCATCGTCATCATCATCATCTTCTACTTCCACGGCCTCCTTTCTCTTTTCTGGCTCCGCCTCCCTCCTCGGAGGTTCTTGGCTGGCGCTGACTCTGGCTTGATTTCTCGTTCGCGCTGCCTGGCCCAGCCGTGCCTGCGGAGTGAGGGGTCTCCCCCTCATTCCTGATTGTGGGCATGACCCCACCACATTTATTCCGGGTCGCCCAGGTGATGATTCCGGACCGGAGTCGTAGAGGAACACCTTGGGGACGCTAAGTTTCCATCTCTTCACTTCCTCACAGAGGCCCACTAGCTTCCGTTGGTACCTCCCCATCTTATCCAGCAGGTCCTCAATCTTCCTATATAAGACGGACGGAGGCTCCGTTCTTTCTTCCCCACTTTCGTCTTCTGCCTCAATGATTATGGGCTCTTTCTTCTTACTCCTTCCTAGTAGCCTTTGAACCATTTCCTCATCACTCCCTACATCCTCCTCTCCAATCAGGGGTTCCACCTTTTCCTGCCATAGCCTGAACATGGCAGGGGGTTGCGGCCCAGCTGCCGCTCTTCGCTGGGCTTCAGCCCTCACTCCTCCAAGCCTTCTGTCGATGGCCTCCCCAAATTGATCGTAGATATTCCCATCCATAGTAGAGGAAATCAGTCCGTTTCTCTCGTCTTCCCGTCTTATATTACAGAACCTTATAGTGTGGCCTTGTTGGTCACAATGTTGACAGATGGCCGTCCTCCAGTCAAAACGGGGTCTTCCATACCCCTGACTTCCCTGATCCCCCTGGCCTTGATACCCCTGGCCTTGACTCCCTTGGCCTTGGTACCCATGGCCTCGACTCCCTTGGCTTTGGTACCCCTGGCCTTGGCCCCCTTGGCCCTGGTACCCCTGGCCTTGGCCATTCCATTGCCTTCTTGTTCCGCCGCCATTCCTGCCTCGGCCCCTTCCTCCACCCCTACCTCCATTGTCTTGATTGCCTTGCCCCTGATTCCCTCCTCCTACAACACTGCCCTGTGAACTGGGATCAGGTGACGGTGGCGGGGCCACAGGTTGGGCCTGGGCCGCGGGGTAGATGGGTGGCGGCATACTCGTTTGCGGTCCAGCTACTGGCGGCGGGTTTCCCCACGGCACAATCGCATTGATCACCGGCCAGGGCCACTGTCCGTAGGAGGGCGCCC